AAGCATCGTTGCAAACTTGTATTTTTCGATAGTGAGTGAGGAATAATTCATCGTAATAGTTCGCTACTACCATTTCTTGAAATTTTATGTAATAATTTCTATAACGAAATAAATTTGTATAATAAAATCTATGCAGAAAATATAGTGATGAAAGAAAATATTACACGAATACTTTGAATTTTCGTGGATGATCCCAATACTGGAAAATGGAACTTGATAATGCACATTGATTGAAAAAAACTACAAATTAAAGACTAAGATTAAGAATATTACATTTGCAGAACAAAGTTTCAAATGTCAGAGAATTAATCGGTAACTTTTGAAGGCTTCACGGTGAGTGAACTGGAATTTTCAGGATATTTAAAAGAATCGACTAACAATAAAGTGAATCTTGCAAAATGAAATACGCTTTCTCTTTGTCTTCATCTCGAACAAATGTAATACAGAGTATTACAGCAGCAAAGGTATTTAAACTTCTGAATGACAATAATCTACGAAGTTCTCTCATTAAGTGAATTATTTCCTCTGTTGCAAAATGGAAATTAAGAACATTGAAATGAGTAAATCTTGAAGTTTATTAATTGTAGTAACAATTTATAATGCTTAAGTGAATGGTTGAAGATAACTTGAATGTTATTTACTGTGTATTTCTTGAATATTAACTATAGTAAGTGAATATTCGTTATTTCGTCGTGTCTAATGTAATCGTTGTTAATTTTAAGTTGATCGGAGATTATGAAAAATTTCTATTAAGACCACATTTTATTTTAAAATTAAACGATAAATACGTTTGTCTTTCACAAAACTGATAATCTTTTTCACAGTCCATTAAGAAACATTATATGGACTCAAATACCTATTCTATAATTATTTATATACCTATCTACATATCGATTGATGCAGCTTATTATTTCATATAGAAAAGCATAAGCAATAATACTGCACGATGCGTGATTTATCAATTCTTCTATCATAAAAAGATTAAGATAATAATTAGCCATGACAAATATTTTTGAGAACAATGCTAGTATCATTTTCGACTACGAATGAACAATGATAGAACGAAAATATAATTCATTGGTGGAGCACAACTGTCGTTATCCTAGTAATAGCCTCTGCTATATTATTTATGATTGAACGGTACCTATTATTCACAACAAGAAAAAGATAAATTTGCTCGATTCGTATTCAATGAAGGTTCTGGTGATTGAGGAATCACGTACAGCTACGTGCCCAGACGTCAAAATGTTAACATTTGATGAATATGCCAATTGCGTTCGGCCAAGCGCTATGTACGCGCGAAAATATTACGATATGATTGCATTAACAACACAGTAATTCTTGATATCGTAAAAAAGAAAGAAGCGAATGCATAAATCAATGCCACGTCTTGTACACGTGCATTCATCTGCAGAGGCACGCCGTCACGTTGAAAAGTTTGCGATTACTTTGTTCCACGAATAAAAGAACATGGACTCATTTAACTACGGCATCTTTCAAGAAATGGAAAAATTTCTAAATTTCTATTTTTATGATATTGCAATTAAAATGTTGGATTTAATTAATTTTCAAGAAATATTCCATTAATTCCGGGAATTTCTGCTTTTTAATATCACCAAGCTGAGTGATATATATATTCAATAATTAATACGTAAGATAATATATTAGCAAGATATTAATAAGAAAGAAAAAAGAAAATACCTTTCAAGGAATTCTCTCGTTGAACAGGATTCGCTCGAATCGTCGTGTTTGCTGACTCAGATATCGAGAATTCTACATTTTGATCGATTTTCGTCTCTCACTGTCGAAGTTTCTTGCCTCGGCAGAGGAACGCAAGCGTGGGGGGAGAGACAACGAAGAAAGAAAATAGAAAAATATATATAGAGAGGTATGTACCGAGAAAAAGAAAAAGAAAAAGAAAATAAAAAATAAAATAGGAAAGGCGAATCGGTGGACACTTGCCGAGAAAAGCGGGAAAGTTTGACCGGGTCGCGGCGTGATACGCGACGCGATAGCGCAACACATGAGTTACACCTGCTGGATGGCGGAGAACTCGGAACACGAGGCGAGGGGAGAAATAAAGCGACCGCGTACGCCGGAGAAATGAGTTTGGAAAGAAGAGGACGCCGCTGGTTATTAAAAAGCAGCAGTAGTAAAATCGTCCATCTCGTTATGTAAGCGTAACGCAGCCACACGTTTCAAGTATAATTTCACGTGGGTTCCTTCTCGCCAGCTTGCGATTCACGCAACCGGCGCCCATTTAAAAAGCAAGGAGGCATCCAGCGAGATTTTTACGAGTGGAATACCAAATGAAAGGTTCGCTGAAATTCCATGTTTATACGAAATTCTTCGTGGCATCGGTCTGGGCATCACGATACCCGAGCATTCGCACCGAACTCGATGGATACATCGAGCGAAATATTGCGTTGAATTTTAAGTGGTAATTGATACACATCGCGATCACCGTTACGTGACGGAAATACGTTTAATCAATTTTCAGAGTTACGTGTTCCTTT